GATAATAGGCTGACGGGAAATTGAGCAACGGGTAGAACTTGCAGTGACGTGGAGATCACATCCTCCAGGCAATGTGCACGCTTCCAACTCGTCTGAAAGACCTGCTAAGTGCGGTACTGGATAAAGGCAAATCATACTACGCGAACAGTCCCTCAAAAAGGATATTTCGATTTGCGATTACCCGAATTATAAGACATATATAAAAATATCCACGAATCTATTTATGACGAACACCGCCTACCTCGACTGGTTTCCGATGCGGGCCTTGTTATTATCAATTGTTCCTGTGCATTTTTTACCTAACGAACAATACACTTGGCTCTACGCTATATAGTCTGAGCTACTGAAAAAGCGTCGTTAATTACCCAAAAATAAATAAATGAATAAAATACACTTGGCAATTGTTGAATTTTAACATACTATAGAATTTAGAATGTTAATTTTGATTCTGTTTTGGGGTGCTGGCATAGTGGACTGCGTGGCTGACATTTCGGAGGTTCACGATGGCCTCCATCTTCAGCGTCGAAGTGTGTAGGATGTTCCTCCGAAACGTCGGCTGCACATCTCACGTCCACACGATGTCAATACGCCCAAACAGGATCAACATTAACAATGAAACACCGCGAGAGCTTAATATCTTAACTAAGAAGGGCCAGTACTCCATACTTCTAACTCCCAGAGGTCTGTTTTTGGGCTTTGTGTCAAAAACTGGGTTTCTCGCCCATTTTTTTAGAAATATAACGACCGTTTATAACATCCTCTGTGTGACAACATGGGGTTCAATTTACATTTCAGACACCCCGCAGGAGGTCGAAAGTTTGTCGGCTTTATAAGTTCGTAGTTTATTCAACAATTCTGAATTAAATACTGCAGGTAAAAGGCTATAGCATCGATAATGAAAAAAAATGCTTAGGGGCCTATGGTGACGTAGACATAATGACCTAGGCAGAAAGCACGTCATAACCGACTGGAAGGGCTGAGTAAAACCATGATAACACCGGTCCAGATAGTCCTGGTCCGGATTAGATAACTCCACCATGTTGCTATGGACCGCTGTTGGCTGTGTCAAAGCGCCAGTAGTGAACCCGACTGATAATATATCAGTGAATGATAACAGCATAAAACATGCCGGGCAGAGGCACCGAATCAGTACAGGGTTGCGTCGCTTATCCGGAAACCGAATGGAATCGCTCTACCGATCAATATCCAGTTAATTTCAGCACACCTCTGGTGGAAGGCCAGTTGAAATTGCAAAGAGAAGTGATAGTAGGTAAAATGTAGGCGTCATGACGGTTCTCTTGAAGGAAATGTCTAGGATAGACAGCGAAACATCGTGGAAGTGGCTTTCTACATGCCTCTGACCTCCTGACTTTGTGTGGTAATTGCTGTCTCTGGATTAAACGATATCACAGTAATAAACTGTTGAACCACCAGAATACTGCACGTCTAGGCGTGACTCCCAAGGATTTTCGCAGAGTAAGTAAAATGAATTAAATTCGCTCTGCACCGATGATTCAAGTACCATTGGCAGTACAACTACTGCGAACAATATAAAGTCTGTAAAATGTAAATACATTTTACAAAAACTCTACAAGAGAAACATCAGAATTTGAAAGATTCTGTCGTCCGTTAACAGTACGACCAATTCCTCAGTTTGCTACATACCCGGTAACACTGCAGGTGTAATTCTATTTTGGGGCGCGAGGCGCATTGAAATCAATAAGCGAGGCAGTAATTCCATTTGACACGGTGTCAGTGGCCTCCAATAATGACCACAGTTAAAGATAGCCCAACACCTTTACTATGTGGTTCGCCCTCAGGTGTAGTTTTTAAGTTCTGAATTTGAGTTCTTCTGTGTTTGCTGCCACGTATAGACAGTCCAACGAAGTCAACTATCGACCATAAACCAACCGACTTGGTCAGGATTCATTTCAGTATTCTTCCTTTCTTCACTAAGCCATTCAAATAAACTTTCCCCTTACGGCTTTCAAACCAAAATGTTCTTCTGTGGTTTCCCCTCCTGCGTGCTATACGTATTCCTACACTAACAATACCAAGGGTAAGAGAAGACATTATGTACGATGTTGTCACGTAATTTTCTCCGTTCTCCTGCCAGTTTTTATTTTTATTTTATTTAGTGTTCTGTCTGACGACAGGTACATATGAACAGGATCCTTCCATCCTTTTCTCGGACTGGGACCTGTTCATATACGTTCTTGGTAGATGATCCAGAAGTGGTTTGCCATTGCCTTCTTCTGTGTGTGAAGGGAGTAATTGTTGGGATGCCACGGAGAAACCGGGGAAGCCCCCGGAGGAAAACTCCGTGTTGCCTAGACCACGGCCTTGCCCAACACAAGTTATAAATTCGGGCACCGCCGGGAATCGAACCCGAGACCCCAGGATTACAAGACCAGCGTTCTAACCGCTAGACCACCGTGGCTATCCTGCCAGTTTAGCAGAAATAAACAACATACGAGGCATCGAGTTCATTCCATCTCAATATTAAATTGTCCTTCGAGATGTGGAAGGCACCTGTGAATACACTGAATAAACAGTCGAAGATATCTGACAAGGGGTGGTCCTTAGTGTACTGGTTAGACATGGGGCAAGGGATTCCTTTGGGGCAGCCTCCTATCCAATGGGTACCGGGTACTTTGCTATAGTGGCGTTTGCCTGGAAGAATCCGGGAAAAATATGACAAGTAACAGACATAACAACAGTTTCTGAGCCGACAGAACAACTCGGAACTTCCCGAATACGTAACAGCTGGGCGACGGTGGATAAAACTGTGTTGTAGAGACTAGTTTCGACACGACTCCATAGTTGACAAAGCTAATCAGCACAGTGGCACCACGCATCATTGTGAAAATAATGAGCGTGTCCTAATACGTCGCTAAATGCAAACCAAATGGAAGAAATTTCAAATAAAGGTTTTACATCTTGCATCTTACGAACAAATTTTCACGTCTGACCGAGTGACGCTCGTCTGGCAACTTACGTACATGTGCAGAATTTCGAATTTCGTCCAAACTCGATAATACGTAGTCTGGGAGATGAAACGTTTGGAAACAGCAATGCTAGTTCAGACTCGTGCAGATAGTCAAGGCTAGTTTCCAAAACTCACCTTCTGGAAGCAGTAATTACAAGCCGCCATGCCCATCTACGCCACAACAGAGTCTCTGCCTCTTGTCGCAATTATCACGACAATTAGAACAACCTTGTCTTCCTCCCTCCCACCACCTCCCCTTCTACTTCACTCATCCTGCCTTTCTTTCAGGATTTTACTCTTTTCTCCTTCCTATGACACGTTCTTCAGTCATCTTCGCCGTATCCTTCCATCTGTCTGCAAGTAATAATGCCCCATAGGGTCGCTCAACCAAGAAGTAACCTTGCATTATTTTCCAAAAGAAGTTTCGACAACATGGAAGCATTGCGTAAAGAAAGGACATACGCTTATGTTAGCAAACCCCAATAAATGTAAGACGCGGTGTTGTGACGCCGTGCGGACTCGTAGGTTCATACCAACATTTCGGGGCTTCAGCCCTGAAGATGGAGACAGTATGTTTCTCCGCAACGTTCGTATCTACCTATGAATCTGCACGGCGTCACATCACAGAATAACAACTTCGCCTAACGCAATAAAGTCCAAATATTTTCCTGAAAACTTTCTTTTCAAACACTCACGACTTACGAAACTACATTTTTAAAGCATCGCTTTTTCAAAGAATGCATATGGGAGATGATAAATGCATACAAAATATTGGCTGGAAAATCTGAAGGGAAGAGATAACTCGGAGACTGCGGTGTAGGGATGAGAAAATTAAAATGGATCTTGGATGAACACGGCGAGAGAGGGCGGAATGGATTCATATCAGCTTCTCAGGGGCGATGGTCTGTGGAGTTGTCAGCTTCAGTTTTCAAAACCTAAAAACATATTTTTTTGAAAGCTGCTGAGTAACCGGTCATGTGTGGGATCCGTCTAGTGTTAAGAACACGAAACGCGCTTAATTTTGCTGTGCTCCATGAACTCAGACCATCAGCTACAGACAGACAGACAGACAGACAGACAGATAGACAGACAGACTGACTGGTGCGGAGAGCATGTTATCCGTAAATGATCATGAAATAAAATGATGAGAGGAACAGGGTCTCTGTGCATTGCACTCACTGAGGCATGACTACAGCACGGCCCACAATAAATTCAACATTCGCTAGCAATATCAGAACGTTGCTTTTCCCACTGACAGCGCAAGACTAACATGCTGGCAACCTGTATCACAAAAGTATGCCCCCACTTAGCGACGGTAAATCAGATAAGGTCGGCATATACAAGCGTTAAAACATGCCATAGTTGTCAGATCCTCCACAGAATTTTAAAAATATTCTAATTAAATTAAAATGTACACACCTACAAACAAAAATAAGCAGCTATTGACAGCTGTCATCTATTCAGGGCCATTTTCAACTGGTACTGACACAGGCTAATAATAACAAGAGACAACTGCTGGACAGACCGCATTTTTAAACTGGCTCTCCCATTACAATTTATAGGGCCCACTTAACATTTTTCAGATCCAATTCAGACCACTTCATATATAATTAGGCCCACGTTATAACGAAATCATATCATGTTATCCGTTTCTCCCTCTACTTCTCCCGTATTTTATCTGGTTAATAGAAGATCATACCAGGATTTTATAATGAAAAAGTGATCTATCTTCCGGTTATCCGGTTTACAGAACCAGGAAACTCTTTACTCATTCATCTGAATTTAAAAAAAATTAAAAATGATTCGAAAATTAGGCTAGGAGCACTTGAAGCTATGAAACTACGTCGACACTGAATCTACGCGTGGCCTATGTCTAGCACAATACAAACTTCGTTATAAACTGCCGTGGTGCAGTCAGGATAGCCTAGGCTACAGGATCAACTTGCGGGGTTCGATTCCCAAGGAGTTTTCATTAGCCACCGCGTTCACATGGGCTTCGGAGCCCACGTACCTTCCTCTCCGATGGGAATCAGGGAAGCAAAGCGCCAGGGGCGTGATGCTGGCGACACACCACCTTGTGCCGAGGTCCTCCACTTCCCCACACATCTTCAAAAGTTGAGGAAACAGGTCCCATGGACCCCCACATGTGTTATTCTTTCCGCTAAATCTTCCTCCCCTATTCCTTCTCCAGCCTCCCCTATTCCTCCTCGGCTGATGGCAAGTCCTTTGGGCTGGCACAAAAGGGGGAGCCCGGAGTGCCGTAATCCTCACTACCGATGGGACTACTTTCTGCGGCCTCAGTACAATTAAACAAGAGAATCTTTCTGTGGTTAACAGCGGGCCGATATTTCAAGGCGCATCTCATACAGAAGAAATGGGAGATGCAGGCCTGGTCTTATGGAAGACGCGGAGATTTCGGCTACCATCTCGCACTCCATATTTATCTTAGCCCTGACTGTCTGTCTGTCAATTCGCAAATTATTTAGTGGCAGTAAAGCGTCTCGTCACGTGGATCCATCGCGACGTGAACAGGTGCCGGGTGGGTAGTATTGATTCCGCGCCAGGAATCATCCATGCTTCACGCGGGGTTCGAATGCCACCCCTCATCAAAATTTAGAAACGTTCTCGGAAGAACTTGGGAGCCTTTTCCTTCTGTCTATATGGCGAGTCTAGAAACAAATATACAATAGCTTATGAAGTGCACAATTTTCACAAGTACAAATTCCGGCTGTCTTAAATTTGGTATCACCCAAATGTTTCGCGCTGCTGATAAAGTCTGAAGTGTTTAATATACGCAGGACAGTTCACACAAAATCTGTATACAAGTTTATGATGTATCTTCACATAGAATTTCTGACTGTAGGAAATTTGGAACTGCAAAGTTTGGATAACTTTTAGCGTCATGACGTACATGCCAAGTTTCACAAACATTCGTCACCTAAAGCAAAAATACATTGATCTGAATGCTCTCACAGTACGTACCTAGTTTCAGTACTCGATTGTTATGTGTAGGATTTGCGATGTAGAAAGAACTTGGAACGTTTATCCACTTCCTTCGACATTCGTACACCACTAGTCGCCATGCAGTTTAGTGTACGTTATATTAGAGTCATAACATCTTATAGAAATCAATCATCAATCTGAATAAAGCAAACTGCACACGGAACAATACAAACATCCCAGTTCCCATGCCAACCAAAATACAGTCGCTTACGTAATGCTGTTGACATATTTACATAAAACTGACTTATTCTACGTTTTGTCAGGAGATGAAACAGACCGTGAACGTTTCTCAGTTACATTGAACTAAATGTAAAAACGCATTCCACGGCTTTCCATGTTGACTTGTGCTATATTAATTTTTAACGCCGCTGTTTAACACTGAACCAACTTCCGAGGTCATGAATCATCGAACAGCGTCTGCGTATGACAAATGTGGTCTCTTCATCACACTCCATGTGGGATTTTTGGTCGAAATGTTGACACTGCGTCAGGGTTTTCTCCGAGTCCTTCGGTTTTTCAGAAACCGGCACCTTCAGTTCTGAAGTCGCTGTCCACAGAACATGTGACTCGTCACATGCACTACGACTGACTCTGGAGTCGTTCTGCCTGAGAAATAAGACGTAATTGCGCTGGGCTCCTGTTTCGGCCACCAAAGATGCAACAGCGACAATAAAAAGAAGAAATGAGAATACATGAAAGGAAAGAAGGCAGAGAGAAGGGGTAAAAAATAACAAGGGGAGGAAATGAATAAAAAGTTTTACAAACACATGTATCTGAATAAATGACTGGAGGTAAGGAAGCTGAACAGTCTTGAGTTTCACTGTTCGGCAAATAGGATGATTAAACTCAGTATGTGATGGGTGGGGCATGTAGAGTGCAAGAGAGAAAACAAAACTTTGTTTTAGAATCAGAAGGTAAAGAAATCACTCTTGAAAACCTGGTCATTAATAGGATAATATTAAACTTGATCTTAAAAACTGGTGGACGGTGTATTTAGAATTGGGTTTATCTCGCTCAGGATAGTGAGACTGATGGCGGGTTATTGAGAACACGGCAATGACGCTTCGGGTTACATCAAGTGAAAAAAACTGTGACTAGCCGAGTGACTACCAGATTCTGAAGAAGAATTCTGCTCCAAGGAGTTTAGTCAGTTAATAACGACCGAGAGAAAATGTTGGGAGAAGATTGGTAATTCGAAAGCTGCAGGTTACCAGTAACTGGAGGGGGTTACTAGTGTCTGTTTACACTCGCCAGGACAAGCGTCTGTCTCTAAAATAGCTGCCCTCTGACTGACAAAGCTTCTCGCATTCTGGGCTTCATAATTATTTACCTAAACCAAAAAGCTTTTGAACTTCCAGATAGCCTTTTTGAACGAGTTTCTCTCGACCCGAGCTACATGTCCAGTCTAATGTGACCGTCTTCATACAACGACCTTAAAAAAAACACCATCTGAAATAAATAAATAACAAATTACCTGAGAATATTCTACACGTAATGCCACACGCAATATATCAGACTTCATCGTTAGGTTTCCATGGTGACCCCTAACCCTCAACTACGTTATACCAGTCCATAATTATGGTTCAGTAAAGCGGTACAACCTGAGATTCGAGATGAAAATTTCGATATGAGATTGTTTACTGGCGGAAACACGCAGTACTCTGGGTGGCCGACTATTGTTCCAAGGCCAGCAGAAAAGAACAATGGTCTGACATTCATTAAAACTCCTATCCGGCAAGCAGGGACGCGCAACCGGCCTGTCCACTGACTTCACTTTGACAGGAATCTTCTGGTTCCGGTACCCACAGACCACAAGTGACGCTCAATCAACTACACAGGCTATACAACTGAAAACGAGTCAAAAAGGCTGACTGTGGATGGTGAATCTGTAAGGACTTTGTAGGAACCAACGACATGCCTAGATGGACTGACGAAGACAATGAACCACCTCAATCATTAATTCTCATCCTCCCAAGCGTCTAACACACTCCGTCTACCTCATCCTCTTTGATCTGACCACTCTAATAATATCGAAATGCCGTGAATTATGTTTGGTCATATCGATTATATTCGGATTGCACAGTTTCCATGGAGATGTCTAACTCTCGGCCGACATTACGCGTTTGTTTAATAACACTCACTGCACTGCGCGGGAACACATGTATACTATGCTACTTACTTGCATTAAAGAGGCCCATTTCCGACAGTGCACTGCGATTTTTAAAAGCTGAAAGGTGTGTGCCATCTGCCTCATCCTCCAAAACATCTTTCTACTCGAATGGCAAATGTTTACCAAACTACACGTCGCTACTACCCAGAAGACAGTAATCTTCAACACTTAAAATGGATGTTTTGTATATTTGGTTCATCCTGAACTGAATGGTAGCAAGCATAACCCAAATTTAACCTGCTCTTAACTATTTCTTAATGTGATTTATTAGCTACCTTCATGCTAAGATTCTGTCCTGCGAATGGGTTAGCAACACAATCCACTGCTCTGTTTTCAGTACCTACGGTGTTTGACAGAAACCTCTTCTGCCCCCTCGTGAAAGGTAAAAACAAAACTGCGTCACAAGGAAATAAACGAGAGGATCGTGGCAAGATTTCGCCTAAAAGCCCGGCCTTTGTAATCACTAAGTGATTCTGTCACTGAGATCGCTTTATTTTCCATTAGCGCTGCGTTATAATAAACATCGCGGGGCAATATTGTGGCCGAGAAATTTCGTGACAGGTTCCATGGGGCGATTCGACACAAAGCAAATTGCCAAGTCCGCCCTAGAGAGAGTTTGGTGCGGTAAAGCCTCGCGTTATCCGAAAACAGTTCATCATGGCTTTTATATATACACGGTGTTCGTTAGGGAAACTGTGTTGACACAGCACCAGATAAAGCGACTACCCATATTGCTTACTAAAGAAATGTAAAGGAGGAACTTCATTAGCTGTATTCATCGAATTTTTTAACACTTTAAACCGAAGTGGTAACTATGTGTACCCTCTGCGTTAACAATCACTAACACTACATTTTGCGTATTACTTTAACTGGAAACAGCGATTATTTCTTTCACGGAGGAGTTGTGTTCTGGGGTACGGACTGAATTATTAAATTAATTTGCATGATACTCGCTTTAAATCACGAGTGTGCGTATGCATGTAGTACGCACGGAGACAGCTCAGCACTAGACAGACATGAGTGGTGGTGAGTCTGGAAGCTGTGGGAAAGAGGAAAGTCGTGCCTTCCTCGAATCGAACCCTGGTTGAAGACCCGTAACCCAGTCGCTGGTCTGACTGACCTAACCCGACGACCCCACCCCCGCATGCATATGAAATGGATATAAATAAACAGATAATGTGTCGAGTGTGATAAGTAGAAGGCCCAGAACGCTATTGGGCGATGGTTGTAATAAGTCACGAAACTCTCACCGCCGCCAATCTTAACTAACCACCCATCACGTTCCCAGTGACCCTGAACCACTTTACTTGTTTCCTGATTGTCGTTCTACTGCATCAATCAGCCACATCGCCAGAACAAGACTTGTGGGGGAACTTTGGAACGGTTGGCGGCCAACACGGTTGAAACATTCTGTCTGTCCCGCTTGGCATAGGCGCACATCCTGAACGAAATATGCATGAAGGTGAACCCCCCACCCCACCCCGGCGTCTCTGTAAGGCCGTAGCTTCCCAGCACCCTTGCATGCACCTTGGGGAGAAGCTTTCCTGTAGGAAGAAGATGCGAGTCGAACGGTCTGCTCCCTCATTTGTTTCTGACCACTTCCACCACTGAACCTGCAAAGACTCCCTTCCTGCCTACCGCACGGCACTTTGGGCTGAATTTGCTGATTAGGAGAGACTGACAGCAAGTAGGAACACAACAGAAAGAACTGGATTCCTTCAGTTTGTAAGCGCAACCCAAATAATTCGCGCAGTCGCCATCTCATATTTTTAAAGCAAAAAAATGTTTCGTGCACACATATATGTGTACAATTTTCAATACCGCACAACTGAGACTCGTATAGATGAAATTAATAGCGCGCAAGATTCCCTCCCGCGTTCACATGGAGACAAATATTCTGATGAAAAGGCGTCGGACACGGCCGTCGTACCAA